AAGCTCGGGATTACAGACTAACGAAGACCTGCTCCAGTTGTGTGTAAGTGTCTAGACAGGTTCCAGCTCAGGCCTGCAACAATTAACTTCTCCAGGCCATCTCTGTTAAAAGAGATAAACACAGTATCCAGGGCTAGCGTGAGGGCTAATCTCAAACACATGCGGCAACTGACAAAGCAACTGCACACTGAGGTTTTGTTTTGGCCAAATGGTTTGTTAAAGAACCAGCATTTTGCATCATTGGTGTCATTTAAAGCTGGGGGATGTAACTTTTTCAATAAATAATACTTTTTGTTACCGTTTGTTCCAACAGAAAGAATGTAAAAGTTTCATGTTGTGAACAAATCAGACCACAACACGCTGTCGTTATCTTATTAGAAAATATTGCATACTTGTTAGAGTTGTGTGAGCCTCCACTATTTGAGGCTTTAGGCTGAGAGCTTTTTTTTTTTACTTTTCCGCTTTTCTGTCTGAGAAAAAACTGATCTTGGACTCTGAGGAGCACAGAGACTGGCCTCCTGCGGGTGCCCAGAGTCAGGACTAAAACATGGAGAGGCAGTGTTTCAGATTCATGCAGCTAAAAGGATTGTATCGTCACTCTTTTAAATACAATGTAATTATTGAAGATTTGAATGCCTTGTGGGATTCTTCTTCTTGTTTTGTTCAGAACTTTTAATTGCATTTTGTATGATCTGTGCTATACAAATAAACTTCATAGATCAAGCCTTGCTAAACCAATAAATCATCTCAGAAGATCTGGAGAAAGACCAGAGAGAAAGACCAGATAAAAACCAGAGAGAGAGAGAGTAGAGAGATCAGAGACAGATACCAGACAGAGTAGAGAGAGGCCCAAGAGAAACCCGATAGAGAAGCAGAGAGAGAAAGAGACCAGAAGGATACAAAAGAAAAAGACCAGAGAGACAGACCTGAGAGAGCTTTCCTTCCTCAAAAAAAGAAAAGAAACACCACACAAATGAATAAGAGGGGATTATACTAATTTAATGAATACAAAACAAAAGAACCTTAGCCTTCTTGTTTCACACATGCAAAGAGAACCTAGCAGCAGCCACAGCGGTCTCCAAATAAGAGGCGCGAATTAGCATGACGAACATTCCATATGACAGCCCCGCCTTCCTCTGCTCAGCCTTCTCTCCCCCTCAATCTGACGGAGCCTCCTGCTGCGACCATCAACACCATCAAACACGTTTCATGACAATAGACTCGCAATTAATACATACTGCTACACCACCCCACCAAAAAAAAAAATTCCCAAATCTATGTTTTCTTAATCATGTGGTCATCTAAACTAATAAAAATAGATTAGATTTAGGGCTTTCCTTTGTGTTTTTGAAATAAAATCAAGTTCAATAATAAACATATTATCACCTTTGTTAGCAACTGTGGTGATATTCAAACTCCCACTAATGGTCTAATTTGGTCTAATTTGCTCAAGTTTACTGGATATTTGTTAATTTACAGGATTTATGCATGAAAATGTGGGCCAATACCGATGGTTAACATAACAACTTGGCCAATATTTTTTTTATTTCTTGAGGGCTTCAGTTTGCCATTTTGCTTCAGCTTGCTTGCAATCGCTGTATACCGTTCATGCTTCTCAAATTTTCTGTGCAATTTTTCATGTTAAAGGATTTTCTTGCAGTCCCCCCTCTTGAAATCTCACAGTATTGCAAACAGCAGAATGCAGATCTTTTTCTGATTCTGTAAACTATGCCACACGACAGCCGCCATCTTCTTTGTTTCTTCTATTGAGGAAAGTGCACAGGTGCCCACTACTGGTGTTTGCACTTGCCGACCATCTGCGAATGCTAATTTTATTTACCGATAGCCGTTCAGCCGATGCAGCGACGCATTCCTATTAGGGCTGGGCGATATGGCAAAAAAGTAAAATCTCGATTTTAGTTCCTGCTTTGGACGATGTCGATTTTAAATCGATTTTCATTAAAGTCACTCAAGACAGACTTTGCCCTTAAAATATTGTTTATCTACCCACTCAATATTTAAGTTTCAAAACTATTTTTATTTGTTTCCCCCAATACATATTATACAAGTCTTGTTCAGACTGTGCTGATATCGCAAGTGTAATTGATGTGCTGCTGGAACTCTCACAATATCCCTCATTCGATTTCACGATTTTCCAATTTTTCACGAATTCGATTTTTTCAAAAGCCGATTAATTGCCAAAATTCGATTTATTGCCCAGCCCTAATTCCTATGCATAACTACACTCATTTTGGTCATTTAACATGATCTTTGGAACTTTACAGCCACAGCCGCCCAACTGTGGCACCTGGATTATCCAGAGGTCTCCCATCACAATAATAGCTAGGCCCTGCCCTACTTAGCTTCAATGGTCTGACAAGATCTGGCTTTGATATGCATACAAAGTTTATAATTAAAACACAAGCTTATTTGTCAGTGTATTGTGCGGTTCGACAAGATATTAGCACCTTTAATAGTGTCATTGGCTGAATGTAAACTCATATTTTTACATTAGAATTTTGGCATTAGAAAAAGACTCCACCCATTCCCTCAAACCTCCAGGTAAAGACTGGACTTACTTAAGAAGAAGAGTCTGGTTTGCACTGAGGACCGAGTTGATTACCCCTGGATTACAAATATATAATTGCCTTTCAAAATAGGAACATTTGGACAGATAAGGAGGAGGAATGTGTGCAGATTTGTGTCAAAAAGTGTGTGATTTCCACTGGGATGAAGCTCAAAACGACTCAAAGTCTATTTTTGATGAGAAAAATTATTGATGAGAAAGCAAAGTTGTAACATGTTGAAAAGCTAGATTTGACATTATTTTTTACGACACTGATGCTGTGGGCTTGTTCTGCTTTAGAGTTGTGCTTTAGCCATGAATCGTGTCAATAATACAATTACTTTAATGGCAGTACATAGCAACCCACAGCACTTTAAAAACTCATCTTCGTGAAAATAATTGGAATACTTTACAAGGTATTATGTCCTAGAAGCAATGAGTACAGAGCTACCTGAGGTGGCCGTGTGTGTGTGCTCCTGTGGGGTGGCTCATTTGAATGGGAAATGCTCTGATGTGAAATAAGAGGCTGGACTGGCTTCAGATCCGTCATGTGAGAGTGCGTGTGGTTCTGCTAAATGCATTAAAGCATCTGAAGCTTCTGCAGTCATCAGCTGGTGTTAAAACACAAGTGGAATCTGGAAGACTATGCAAAAAACTATCCAAATTATGCATTGTACTGTTTGGACACTTAAAGACACTTTACAAAGGGACAGATAAATAAGAAAAAATATGTATAAAAAAAGAAGCTAAAATAGAGTTATGGGTAGGTAGTTTTACAGTGGTTAGCACTTGTGCGTCACCGCAAGAAGTTCCTGGATTAGATTCCACCTCCAGGCCTGTCTCTGTTGAGTTGGCATGTCTCCCTGTGTCTGTGTACCACTAAGACATTTACAGTAGTATAGTCCTCCATAACACACTCCCACCCCCCTCTCTTAAAACAACATAACAGGTTAGTGCAGTTGTTATGTGTAAGACTCTGTTGTGTTTGTGTTAAATCAATTATGTCATTTGCCTGGACTTAGGAATGTATCATACAAAACTAAAAACATATGTATCCTGGATTATGAACCACAAAGAATGCATCCAAATTGATTGTGACACTACACTGTAATATTAACGGCTTATTAACCGAGCGCGAGGTCTGTACGGAGAAATATCAGGTCTGATGTTTCTCTGTACAGACTGAGCAAGCAAGGTTAATAAATGTTTTATAATATGACTCTCGTCTGTGTCTTTACCAATGCTTTTGAGATATTTGTGAAGTATGTTCATGTCCGACTTGGTTTTGTGTGATACGCGCTGTGGACAGATTGTCATGGTAACGGTCCGAGGAAAGATATCAAATGTGATACGCGCTGTTCGGACCAATTGTCATAGTAACGGTCCTAGATGGGAAAATATCAGACCGGTAATCAGCCAATCAGAGCGCGCGTACGGTCCAAGTCATATAATAAAACTATGTACTAAAACTTGTTTTGTTATCACACATTTTGTTTGTTATCCACATCCTATGAATAAGTCAGTCCTGTTAGTATTGGAAAACATGTTATCTTTTGCAAAACCTGTAAACCCATGTCTTTGGACTGAGAGTGACTGGGAATGGGTGGTTATCACACTTTTCTGTCTAAAAAGCTGATCTAAAGCTGAGACAGGTCCTGCTTGTACAAAACGTGATATCTATGATGCACCAAACTGTTATGAGAACAAGGAACTAGTTTATGGCTGAAAATCAGGTAACCCAGCTTTAACTAAATTTAAGATGAGAAAAACTTTATCTTTCTCACAATGGAGAAATGTACATGTTACATTTGGTATCTAGATAGAATCCTTTGGGGTGTGCAAAAAGACAGGAAGTGTGCAAACATGTTAGACGGTTAAAATATAATATGTACAGTAACATTAAAAGTGACTATAGCAGTGCGAATGTTTCAGTCCTAGTGCAGGTCGTTAAAGTGACGTATTGTACAATCTAACAGCAGTGTGGATGAAGCCATATATACACTCTGTATTAAGTGATATAGAGAGAACAGTAAGCATCAAGACAACTCAATGTACAACTCAATGCATCTCAATCAGCTCCACTGTGTCTTGTCCTTACTTTAACACTAGTCTTTCTCCGCATTAAAACTTAAATCCTATCATTCGCGCTTGTTTTTGAGGTGGGCAATGCTTTGAGATAAACTTAATCAATCCTCGTCTGTGTGTTTTCCTTTCCCCTCTCTGTCTTCTCGGAGGCAGCGTGGATGGAAAGTGGGTGAAGCGGTCATCGATGTAGGCTATTCACCAGAGCATCCTTGCTAGCAGCCAGACTGGGGCTAGCTTCTCGCCTAGCCCCCCAAACAATGACCAGTAGCTGCTAGCTTCCGTTGGCGCCACTTGCTGCATATCTGACTGTTTGGCCTAGAAACAATATACAAATAAAAAGTATGCTTACCTAGTTGTCCCTCGCTGATGGTTAGAACAATTTGATCCATGAGAAGATATCGGAATTCCACATCTTCGTCCGCACACCGCTCCTTCAGCGCACGGAGGATCTGAACTTGCGGGTACTCCTGAGCGATACGCCGGTCTGTCACAAACCAAATCCTGGAGCACATTTTTGCAGCTGGTTGGTTGTTCTTTAATGCAGCCGGGGCTCAAATACAAGGGCGTGAGAGGTGGTAGGTGGCGGTGGCCGGCGGTGACACAATGGAGAGGGCTTCGCGGTGAAAGTAGGACCAGAGGAGGCCACCCGCTTGTCGAGCCCGTTAAGGTGATGCAGACGCTGTATCACCTCCGCAGTGCTTCATCTGTGGCCATGTATCCGCTCCGAGGTCAGACCCAAACGGAGGATTAAACCCGGGGAAGGCAGCTGACAAAGCGGAGGTCTTCCCCCGGTTGCCTTCAGAACGAACTCCTCCTCGTCAAGAGAGCACACGGAGAAGCGAAGAACCCTGGACGGCAGCGGCGTGGCGGTGGATCCTCGGCGGCAGGGCACCAGCACAGCGGGTTTCCTCCTGTCGCTCCGTGTCGCTGGTTTTGGCTGCTGTCCACGCGGTTCTGGTGCTGAAACGCGCTCGCGGCTTTTTGTAAGAGACCCACGTGCACGCGCGTCGCTTACTACTCACAAAACTGTCTGTCGTGCCCGTGCGCAGATAACGGAAAAGCCTCCGTGTGTGTGTGTATGTGAGGATGTGTGTGTGTATGTAAGGGTGTGTGTATGTGTATGCACCAATCGGAGACGTCTCCCGTGAGCTGTGGACCAATCAGGGCCCTGTGCTGCCTCCTATTGCATTTGTAATGCCAAGATGTGAGACTTATCTCTGTGACTTTCTATTAAATCAAGAAAAGAGACTGAACACGTGAGATGTTAGGTATCTGTTGTAGAGGACAACAGACGAGTCTGTTTACACGCCTCAGCAAAATCATAAAAAGATACAAATGTACTTAACTAAAAATCAAACATACTGCTTCTCATACTGTAAGTCAACTCAGTATTCATGAACTTAGAAGCATTGCTAACTGCGTCAACCCTATTTGTGAACGTAGAAGCCTTAAACTATACTTATTCAAAGGTTATATAAAGTACAGAGTTTAAAAGTTGAAGAAAAGTACAGAAGAAATACCAGAAGTACTTAGTTACTCCTAATATTTTGTTTATGAACTGTTGAATATTATTAATAACAGTACAAAAGAACATCTGTACAGTTACAATCAAAGTAAAATTACTTCTGTATCATTACATATAAGTCATTAAAGACCTTTGCATGCGTCGAAATGGCCTTTCTACACCCAAAAATAGAACTTAAAGAATGTCACTCCACCACTATTAATGTAACGGGGGTAATGTAATGTAATGGGGGGGGGGGGGGTGTAGCCATAGCAACTCATCAATCGGCTCCATGAAGGCGGGTTTCTTCTCAGTGCGCATGTGCAGTCGAAGATTAGACATAGACAGGGTGCAGCATTGTACAACACATGCATTGACTCAGAGCTGATTCGCTTTATTCAGAATTAACCATTACTCCTTTGACTAAAAATATACAAAGAGGTATCCATAATCTCTCTTATCAATATTGTGGAACTTTGAGATGCTCTGAAGGTTAAGGAAGGACGAGGAACCTTGTCTGTGTAGCGAATTTTGATGCAGCATTGGGGAAAGCCACTCTCTCTAATCTTCCTCTCTAACTTGCTCCTATTGACTCCTATTACACGTCAAAATGTGGTTGGGAGGGTTGTCGAATCGATGATCGACAGCCGTGGGGGGCCATGATAGCCAATAGAAACGCTCTAAAGCTCTAAAATAGGCGGGAAGACTACTCTGTGAACCAATTGAAATGCGTGGAGCAGAAGCAGGGGCAGATGGAGGGGCGCGCGGGGGCGTGTGATGGAGAATCCGTGCGTCTGCAGCAGCAAGTGCACGAGTCCCCCGAACCGGTTCAGACCAGACCAGACCAGACCGCGCGAGGTGGGTTTGGTTATGGCCAAAGCAGCAGCACAGTCTGTCTTTGTGCGCACACGGGAGGAAATGACTGAAAAGATGTAAATATGAAGCAAAAAACCTAACAGACGTATGTTGTTGTACTTTACTATATCTCTTTTTTTAATGGGAGTTTTGCAGTTTGCCATAGATACATAGTAACATCCCAACCATGTGATGTCACAGTGACCTACTTCTTCCATCCCTCAGTCTGAAGACACCGCACCATTGATCTTGTGCGGGGTGGATTCTCACACCCACTTGTATAGAGGTCATATCGAAACGTAAAAGTCATCTAAATGCTGAGCAAACCCAAATTCAATTGATCTATGTTAAAAGAATGGGATTCAAAACAGAGAGAATGCAATAAAGCCAGTCCGAGCAATTAAACAGATGATTTGACTGGACGTTTGTGTTTTTACAGTTAGACCCAGTCTGAATAATGGTGTTTGCAGATCGCTCCAGTTCATTAGACCAACAAAACATTCACCCATGTTAATTTAAATTCAAGTATTTTTGTAACAGGGTCACTATCGTGGCAAACAGAAGATCGACTTTTACCAGAAACTATAGGAAATGGAAAACATGCACCATTTTACAACGTTTGAAAATTCCATGCAGTTTATGGCGGTTAGAAATTGGCGCATTAGTTCACCGCGGAAATATGTGGTGAGGGCGACATCTAGTGGAATCCTAGCAAAGTACAATTGGTTGCGTTTATGGCTTCGGTTATACAAAAGGCAACTCAAAGTGCTTCACAAAACACATTTTCTCACATTTTCAGGAAGACTATTCCAGATTTTAGCTGAAAAGCTGCCTCCCACATATTTAATCCTGAGTCTAGGCACCAGCAGGAGGCCAGTCCCTGTGCTCCTCAGAGTCCCAGTTGGTTCATATCCATCAACATCATGGATGGATGTTGATGGATTGTTGATTCTCCAACAACAGATCAGAGAATCAAACCGTTCGAACACAGGAAACGCAATGATAACAGATACAGGAGCAGAATGACCGCTGTCAAATAAAGGTCCTGGAGAGAGGGATCTGCTCCCACGGACTGACAAGCTGTAGATCCAGGACCGGCTGCAGATCTCAGGCTGTAGAATGAGGACTGTGGCTGTGTGGTGCAAGACTAGTTGGTTAGAGAGACTTGTACACAAACAGAGCTATCTTTAAAGTCTATTCTCTTGAGCCACAGGGCGACAGTGCAGAGATGTTGTAGAATCCTTTTTCAGTATAGATCAGATTCTCAAACCTGCCATATTAGTCTCATGAATGAAAGTCCTGTCGTCTGGCCAACATCGTGTATATGTTTTTGAACATTGTCACCACAACTTTTTCCTCCGAGACGACTGCTGTTGTGATTTAGGGCTATTGCACAAATAAATTGAATTTAAACAAAATCAAAAACTTCCTACCAAATTTCTTTCAAACAGGACTCTACGATTGATGATGATTATTATATATTTAACTATCCACTTCAGAAACGTCAGAAAGCGCTAAATACTTAATAAACGTCCTTCTTGCAGTTAAAATATGTAACTGCGTGTTTTTTCCAAAGGGGGGCGCTGCTTGCGCATGTATTCTGGAACTTTTGAACATTACCAGAGCACTTAATTCCATGAGCAGGAAAAAGACATTTCGATACTAATTAACCGACTTGGAAACCTGCTTTATTTTGGAGATCTTGAACACTAATACTCTAACTATACTATTACAATAATAGTATTTTTTTATATTACCAAAAAAAGAGTTTATTGTAGTTCTGACCCAGTCACCCAGAATGCAAGACATTCCGAAAATCTCTAATCATGTCTTGTTTATGTACTATTATTATTATTATCATTGTACAACAAATGAGAGTCAAGTTTTGATAAAAGCTTTTTACTGATATATTATATTATCTTTGTAATTTTTTTTTGGGCTTCAATCATTCAACATGTTTGTTTTTTGTTTTATTTCCCCTTTTACTATGAACATGTACATAAGGTCTGAATGTTTTGGCGTGAATGGAAAAATATTGCTACCCCAAAGCATTATAAAGTGATTTGTGTCTCTTGAATCAGAATCTGATCTTTGAAATGAAATCCAGTGTACTTTTGTAGAGACTTTTGTTGATCCACCGACAACAGATCAACGACTCATAATAACAACAGTTGGGCAGACGTAAGAACCCTCGGGGAGAGCCATATTGAGAGATGAATCCACTCCCACGATCGAACAAGCTATGAAATATGCTACAAATTAATAATAATGTATATATTTAGAAGAAAAAAAACTGCTTAAGAAATTATCAAAAAAGATACACAAATAATACACAAGACCAGTACTTCATATGTGGTAGACGATAATAAAACACAAGACTCAAAGCTCAAGTCCAAACACCTTACATCTGTGTTCCATTACTCACTCCATGTACTGTACTTCTACTTATATTTTACAACTTAACTTCATGCGACCCGCTCCCATCTCTGTGTGGGGTGAGAGGACAAATGCCCAAAAAATAATAATTGTAAACCGCTTTGAGACTCCAATGTGCAGTGAAAAGGCGGTATATAAATAAAACTTACTTACTTACTTACTCAATCAACTTATCAGGATTGATGATTGGTGATATTTTTATCTATTATACCTCCCAAAATTATTTTTCTACTGAGATAACATCAATAGATATCCTGACCTGTATATTACTTTCAAAATGACTAAAAAGCCATTTTTGTGACATTTTGTTATTATCAAGTCGTTTATTTAAAGATCTTATTGTTAATTTCCACTGTGAACCTCAACACATAATGCTTAAAATGTTTCATGTACTATGTACATTATAGTGTGGACCCTTGCGGTACAACGAATGTAAGATTCACCAATGGGAAATCAAAGGAAAAAGGCCAATTTTTTTAAACCAATAAAAAATGACATTAACTAAGATTGTACAGAATCATTCATTCAAGCATTTACTGCATTATATTGCATATTTCAAAATGCAAATTATATGAGACCACATGTGTCAGGTGATAGACTCAACCCAAATTATCAGACGCATCCGTGAGAGAAGAGAGTCTTCAAAAGCCTCATCCTTCATCTCCACAAAACTGTGGAGCTTTGAACGGAATTCACAGGAAAGCACAAAAAATGGAAGATGTAAATGTAAAATGTAAATGTGCATTTGGTTTCATTCTCTGCTGATAAAAATAAAAACTTTGACCCAACAGCGTCCAACCAAAACGACAAAGTGAAGATGAGAGCTCTCTTTGTGTGGCAATGGTTTTATACAGCACCTTTTTGGACACTCAAAGATACATTTCATTATTCATTCACTTCATACATAGACTGGTGATAGACTACTAATGTAGCCACAGCTGCCCTGGGGCACACTGACAGAAGCGAGGCAGCCAGTCTCTGCCATGAGCCCTCTGGGAACACCAGGTGCCACAGCCTCACCACTGTGGCACCTGGTGTTCCCAGAGGTCTCCCATCTAATCTGTCCTGATGATCCGCTGAGATCTTCTGTAGTCAAGCTTTTCACAGGTTCATAATTCTCTGAGAGCTGATTGGTGGTCCTCTCTTTTTCACTTTTATTCTGAAAAAGCTTATCTAAACATGTGACACAGGCGACAAATGCTGCATGTAAAACTATACCCCAGCTTTAACAGAGGACTCCCAGTAGAATTCTGAAGTAATCCCAAAAAACAGTTAGTTTCTCACGACTGTAATTAAAGTAATGCAAGCTAAAACTGGGGAATATCACTGAAATACATCAACACTAAATGCTAACTAATGCAAGTAAACATTGTGTTGCTATGGTAATCTCTAAAGTGAGATTGCTGTGAACCAGTCTTGGACCAGTCTAGGATCGCAAAAATGTAATTAGAATAATAACTTAGAAATAAACTACATGGAGATAGAAAAAAGTCACAATGTTATAAAGACGTACATAAGCGGAGACATTATACTTCAAAAACAAAAAGCCGTCAAATTGACTGCTCTGGGAATTATAGTGTTAATTGGATGTCGATAACCCCACTTCACCCTTATCTCTCCTCACTCTCTCTCTCTCTCTCTCTCTCTCTCTCTCCTCTCTCCCTCCCACAGTCTCTCTCTCTCTCGTGCACGCGCTCCCCAGCTCACGAGCGTGCGCGGCGGCTGTGTCTGAGAGGAAGTAGTCCCGGTGAAGCGTTCGTTCTGCACGCATCACGCACACGGGACCGGGCCAGACTCCTCCGCGGTCTGTGCGTGTGTGGAGGCTCAAATCTAGTCCGCCTCTCATGACGGAGGAGGACTGACCACACAGCGCCTCAGCCTCCAGTCCCTCCCCGGGCACCAGGCACCAGGCAGCGGACAGAGACAAGAACCAGCAGCACCCCCCAGGACCGGAGAGAGACAAGCCCGGGTAGACCACCAACACACACCGCTGTACAGAGCTTTGTCTGTGGGAGAGAGCTTTTCCAAGAGGCGCCTGTCTGGAGCGTCTGTGTGGAGCCGGGGATAGAACCACAGCGCGGGGTTCACAGACGGAGGATAGTCGGTAAGTCCCCATGCAAAGGAATGTTGTAGACAGCAACAATCAGGTGATAATAAACGTGACATTACAGATTTTGAAATTACGCTACTTCTGTCATGACACCGCTAAGTTCACTGTCACTAGTCAGACAGATAGCATCCTTTTTAGTTCAGACGTGGAGGATAACTAAACCAGGGTGACTTTTTCCTTTCTATTGCATTCGCGATACGATTTTGCATCACACTGTCATGTCATTATTCCATTTCAATGTTCCTTTTTACGTATGCACCCAATTATAATTTGCCATCGGAGCAATAGTAGTTACAGTATAGGGGCAGAAGCAAGAATTAAGTATTATGTGAAGATAGTGCAGCAATAAGCTTCATATTATTGTCACTCAGCTGTACTGATCTGCCACACTGGGTTTATGTATAGGGCTATAGTCTATACTATGGTTAGTAACTTTAGGTCTATAATCTATACTAGGTCTATAGTCTATACTATTCTATACTAGGTCCATAGTCAAGACACATAACTTCATTTTTTATCATTGCAATCTGAAATGGACTGTAATAAATGAGTGATCTGTTTGGGAAGTATAGGTGAGGAGACTATGGTTTGAGAAAAGGTTGAAAAATGATATGAACAGGAGAACATTGATCTCTGTGTAGTACCCAAACGTAGCTTTACTTCTGGATTGGTGTTGAAACGTCTGTTCTGAAAACTTTTGAAGCATTTTCTGAAGTGAAATTGTCTTACACTGATTTGGGATGAACTGACGAGCAATTATCCAGAATAAAGGATTTTAAAATGATCACTGTGATCTTCAATGAAAAACAAAATGTACACATTTCAGCAACATTGAATTCAATTACAGAATTACTGAATGTTTTTTGTCTTTGAATTTCAGTCTCTGTAAAAATCAACATGATAAACATTTCAAAATGCCATATTTGTATTTAAAATGTTGTTTATTTTTGACCCATTCAATGCACTTGGAAATTTAATGAAAAAAAGACAAACAAAGATAATTTAATTAATCAGATCTTGAATTCTAAATCATGAAAAAAACCTCTTGAATATTTTTGCCTGTGAATTTCAGTCGCTGTTTACAAATATCTTAGTGTTATTATTTACAAATTTTTTTTTTGGATGGATCTTGATTTTTGATTTAAAATTTGAATGTTTACTTACCCAATTCGAGTTGAATTGTGCCTGTTAAAGATGCCCACTTTGGGAAACCATTTTATTATTCAGATATAAAACCGTCCAAGGTCATAGAAAGAGACTTACAGTATATACCAGTCATTTCTAATCACTCCACACTCACTGATGACAGAATCCAAGCCTCCCCATCACGACCAATCATTACTCTCCCATAGATCTATTCTACACATTTTTAGTGATAGAGGAACCCGGAGCCCCTGCAAAACCCACACAGACATGGGGAGAACATGCAAATTCCACACAGAAAGGCATGAGGGTGGAATCCAAGTGAAAATGTGATTTTGTGTTACTTTTGCCGCTGGTGCATATTTAAATCCAAACATAGTGAAAGGTGACTGGAAAGAGGTAAAAACACATGTCGTCCGTCTCTAGCTCAGTTCTATCTCCCAAACCAGTGGTCTCAAACACGTGGTCCGCAGGCCATTTGCGGCCCATAAAAAAATATTCAGAGGCCCATCAGTGTACATCAAACTTTCAGAGAGTCAGACATTGTTTTAAAGCTAATTTTATTAAGAAAACAGCCACGCCATTTAGATTATCATAAACATTGAACCCTGAATGAAATATTTCAAAGTAAACATTACAAAACTCAACCGACAACACAAACCCTTTTTGCTTTTGGTCTTGTTTTGTCTCAGTCACAGCAGCTGGACTCATAATAATAATAATACTCAATAAAAGTAACGATAAAAGCAAAACAAATAAAAAAAGCCACAGAAGCAAACAATAATCTTAAAAACTTTACACAAAGGCTTGATTCGCGGTGTTCCTGTTTGTGTCTCTGTTTCGAACTCAAACATTTACTTTCGCTAATGTTAAAGAATAAGAAAATGTACAGTTTGAAATATAGCGGTTTATTATATTCATCCAGGAGCTAAACTGAGCAAAGTGAAATAATCAAGAAAACAATCATATTCTTATAATTTATCCTTAGATTCACAATTAAAGTGGCCATACCGGCATGTGAATTTCAGATCTTTTCAGACATCTGAAGCTAAGCAGGGCAGGGCCTGGTTAGTACTGTGAAGGGAGACCTCTGGGAACACCAGGTGCCACAGTGGGGCGGCTGCAGCAGTAAAGGGCCAAATTGTTATTGTGTCCTTAGGCAAGACACTTCACCCATATTAGAATGAGTCTGGTGTGTGTGTGAATGGTTGGTTGTGATGAGAAGGGCTGATGGTTGCCTTGCTTCAGCCAGTTTGCCCCAAGGCAGCTGTGGCTAGAATAGTAGTTTATGAAGTGAAGGAACAATGACATGTGAGGCGCCTTTGAATGTCAAAGTGCCAAAAAAACGCTATATAAAACCGATGCATAATTGACAGTAAAAACATACTTTCACCCTTGAACACCTCTTATTTTTCAAAATATTATTAACATTTATGGACAGTGGTTATCCTGCTCCTTATGGACCAATGGCTCATATGTGGTTGTTATTATTGCATTTCCTGTATTTGAACTGTTTGATTCTACTCATGACGACAACTTTGTAAAGATGACTGCTGCTGTGATTCATGGCTATACAAAAATAAATTGAATAGAATTGAAATTCAGCCCCTGACCTAAAGTTTCTTCAGAGTGAGCGGCTTTCTCTCCAGTCTGCTGAAATAGAACTATGAATATGTTGTTGTGCTGGTCCGAATACCCGCGCTCCACTCTACCCGTCTTTCTCCGTCTCGTTCTAACCTCTCTAGCCTCCTTCTCTCCCCCTTCTAGGGCCGCCGCTGTCTGAAACCATTCTACTCATCATTATTGGTGCGAGATTTACTTGATCTTGTAAATGCCGTTGATTGAGGGTAATTTGGCCTTTTAATTGCTCAACAGCTGCCGCGCTCCCGTCTTTGATTGCTATTGTAGGCTTCCACTCGTGGCTCACGTCGTTACCAAGAAGAAAGAATCAGGAAAGTATTAATTTTGAGGCTTGATTTTGTGATTTCGAGTCGGATAAAAAGGTTGTAGTAATTAAATGGCGGAAAACGCAATTTTAAGTGCGATATAAAAATAAAATGAGACGTTTTCTATAGACCTTTGAAACAGGATCAAAAATCACATACATTTATACTTAAGCTAGTATTTGGAAGCACAGTGGCACGTGTCCTGGGTTCGATATCACCTCCAGACCCTCCTGTGTAGAGTTTGTATGTTCTCCCTTTGTCGGCACAGGTTTCCTGCAGGTGCTCCAGTTCGCCCTACCACTATAATCATGTACAATAGTCCTCCAAAACTCTGTCTCTCTCCTACTCTCTGTCTCTCGCTCTCTCTCTCCCTGTTGCTCTCTCTCCCTCTCCCTGTCTCCCTCTCCCTGTCTCCCTCCCTCTGTCTCTCGCTCTCTCTCTCTCTCTCTGTCTCTCTCTATCGCTCCCTCTACCTCTCTCTCCTTTCTCTACCTTTCTCTATCCCCCCCTTTTTTTCTCTCTCTCTCTGGTGTTAATTTTGAGGCTTCATTTTGTGGTTTTGAGTCAGACAAAAGGTTGTGGTAAATAAATGGCAGAAAATGCAATGTGAAGTCCGCTATACAAATAAAAGGAGCTGCTTTCTATAGAAGTTTCAAACTGAATTAATGCCAATTTTGTAGGTTTGGTCCAAACCCTCATAAATTCACAGGTAAATAGGAGGATTATCCCAAATGTTAGGAAAGTACTTCCCTTTCCAGATTTTGAACAAAACTCTCTGGTCTTATTTGACGAGCACGTATCACCAGAAGGATTGACAACTGGGAGGACCAATTGTCTTGATGATCCACGCGGAAGTAGAAAATCTTCCTATACCTTTAAGCTTGTATTTGGCAGCATTATGGCTCCTGGGTTTGATTAATTTGATTAATTTATTAGTATATTTGAATAGGAAAAATGCACGTTAATCAGCATTACAATAAGGTTGCCTGTTTGAATGCCTGTCTGAGTAGAGTTTGAATGATCTCCCTGTATCTGTGTAGGTTTTCTCGAGGTGCTCCGGTTTCCCCACCACTAAAAACATGCACAATATTTTAAGGTCAATGAGTCAGTGGGAGCGGTTCCCTTTCTCAATGTGGTTCTCCCTGAGGTTTCTCACTTTTTCCCACTGGGTTTTAGAGTTTTTCCTTGCCAATGCAGGAGGGTCTGTTGGACAGTTAGAGGATCTAACAAAAAGGACTGCGGTGATGATCCAGGACACTCTACATCCTGGACATGTATCAACACTTATGAACAAGGACCAATACCTTTGTGTTCTCTTTTCTTTGTGTTTGTCTTTGATTCTCTGATCTGTGTTGGCATTTTCAAAAGTTTTGTTAAGTCCTTTGAGATAACTACTGTTGTGATTTAGGGCTATTAAGAATACATGGAATTGAAGTGAATTTAACAAGTGTGTGTTTGTGAGTGGGACTGTGCGACAGATACAAAATAGCACAAAAAGCTATAACCCGGAAGGTGTGTTCATTAGCATGCACTGTTTCAACCAAATAAACAATAAATGAATGCATAAAACTTGTTAAAGTATTGTCACAAAAATTAACAAAAACATTACAAAATTGGACATTCCATAGATTCAGAAATATGAATACAACTGGAATAAAGCCTTTATGTACAAAAAAAAATGACTATTATTTTGTACTATTATTACTTGCTTATTTTGACTGATTTGGAGAATTTTGGAGCAAATTCCTAATCTGATTTCTTGTGATTCTGTCCTGCCGATTACAAATGTATCACCAGATTTTTTTCCCCCATAAAAAAATGAAATAATTGGTTGGGTTTTGTGTCCATGATCACAAACATGTATGCACGATTTTCAAACTAACATAGTGACTGGATTCTAGAAAT